CGATTGATCTAGGTGCTCTTATGACAGACTCCGGAGGGAGAAGAATCAGGGCTCCTGATAAAGGAAGGTTGCCACAACACAGCCTTCCAAGAGGCCAGCGAACCATGAAAACTCATCTGTAGAGAACCTGACAGATCCCTCAAAACAAACTGAAAGCTGAACATGGTTTTTCTACAAGCCAATTCACAAATAGCAACTCCATGCTATTAAAAGCATATTCATAAAATTAACACAAAAAACTGGAGAAATGATTTAAACAAAAACACTTGAATGCAACACTACCATCAACTCTTCAGCCTCAACAGATACAATATCTAAGCACATTCGCTACTTTGATTTATAGCTCAGCCTGACAATGCCCAGGTCTTTCCTGCTTGAGTCTGAAACTAGATATTACAAATACAAATGTAAACTACTGGTGGAGTAAACAAATATTGTTGATAAATGTACTTGCCAGTAAATGCCTGATATATAATAAAACAAAGTCAGCCACATTAGCTGATGAACAGCCTATTAAAATGATCTCCTTTAGTTCTTTAACAAACAAAAGACAGCCTGACTACATGCAGACAGGAACATTCAGTGTAGACTTAAAGCATGTAAAAGAGGACCTTATTTTTCATTTTTCCAAAAGAAAGTGCTGTTTGGTATGCCAGTAGTTACTGTCTATGAAACCAAACAACAGAATCAGAGCTGCAAGAGTTCAGCATATTAGCCTGGCTCACTTAACCTTCTGTTAAGGTATCATAATGTGAATATAGAATTAATTACATAGTACTCTTAACTAGAAATCTCAAAATAACTTGCTTGAGGTTTTTTGGGGTTTTTGTTTTTTTTGTTACTAGAACGGACTTCACTAACGTACATCTTCTGACAGACTACACTAGACAATACAGGCCTTATTTTCACTACAATTTCTATCATTGCCAGCTACCTAAAGTACACACTCTAGATTTCATACTGTGTTTTAAACCGCCAACTAACAAAGGCACTAGAGGTCTGACAGAAGCAGTGTTCAATGTAAGCTTTACAGTCAGATCTTGGGGGAAAAAATGGTAACATTTTCCTTTTACCTTAAATGTTGTAACAACATGAAGTGGCTTCTACTTAGCTTTGTTTATTTTGAGACTGTTTTCTTTCCAGATTAAATTAACACCTGCAAAATAGGTTTACAGCTGCAACTCCACAAATTTACCTCCACTGTGTTAAAAGTATAATACTGCTGGCATTTCAAAAAACTTTTTATTAATAAGGCAAGACCCATAATACTTGGGCAGGCAGGTATACCCTCAGGACACAGGAACAGGCCTAATAAAATTGAAGAATTCCTAACACAATGAAGGGGCACAAGCAATTTGTTCCATCTAAAATAAGGAACTGCTTCAACACCAACAAAAAAAGACAAAGTGAAAATGCAGTTTGCAGATCAAGTCTACAGAACAGTCCCTTGGGAAACCTTGGAGACAAAAATAAGTTCTGAGGTACTTAATTTCCTTTGCTCAGAATAAAAACAGCAACAAAAAACAGATTTAGCTTTTCTGAAAAACTGAAAACAAAATCCAGGAGAAAGATATTCTTAAGATTCTTTCAGGATGAAAAGTAACTTAAATTACTGGTATTTAGTTTTACTCTGATTAAGTTACTAGAAGGGTTTTTACCCTTAGTATAAGAACAAGCTATCATAAAAACTACTTAGGATAGGCTGTCTTCTCCACAAGAACCACCACCTACCACTCCGTGATCGCTTGTTGTGGAGGGGAGGAGGGTAGGAATTAAGTGGAACTCAGACACAAAAAAAATGAAGTCTGTTGTTCACAGATACCAAGGTATAACATCTTAAAAGAGAAACCAAATTCAATGCAAAGATGTACCATGCAAGATTTAATAAATGAATCCCACATTTCTATTTTCCCCATGCCCCCGCCTATGCTCCTGCCACCACTGGACTGGCATTCCAGCATTTTTAAGATTCCTGTGCAGCAGAAGAACTCTAGAAGGTAGAATCAAGCAATTCTTCCACTTGCAAAGAACACAGTATGCCTGCCAGTTCACCTGAATCCTGGAAAAGTGGTATGTACAGGGAGCCAGGAACAGGTGTTTTCTCACTGCTGCAAATGCAGCTGGAGAACAGAACAAACAGGTAATCTCAGCAACAGAAGAGGAATGTGTCTGTGCCTGGGTTATCTTTTTCTACTTAACTAATCAGAAAAAAGTATCAGAATTAAGGTGTTGAGGAATGATGATCCCCAGCAGAGTTGCTCTTTTTGCTACTCACTTTGGGACTGGAAATGTTCCCTTTCCAAAAGTAAAGGATTTTTGTATGGATGTCTTTGAGAAGGGAAGGGACAGAAGCAATGGGATGCGCTCAATAAAGTTTGCTTATGTTTGTTATGTTCAAAGGAATACCAATTTCTTTTGCACAATATTTGCAAGCTAAGTGTACATAAAACTTCCAGTAAACAGTTGCCGAGAAAAGCAATCAAGTTTACAAGTCCTCTGGGTCACCAAAATCACAGACAATGAATTTTGAGGAATCTGGAAGACTGAACAATGTTTGTAGTTAGGGCAAATCAGATCTCTCAGCCTGTGCTGTTATTCAGAACTAGACTTCAGCATGCCATAATGACCCTTAAGTCATAGAAAATGCAGACATTTTAAATCAGGGGCCAAAATGAATCCTGCCCTTATAAGTCTCCTTGCATCTTTTTTTTTCTGCCCTAAAGCTGGACTCCTGAGGTAGGAAATATTATGGAAAAGGCCAAGATTTCTGATGCATCATTTTCAGTTACGTACTTTAATACTATTAAGCTCTGGTTTAGCTGTATTTCTGTCAAAGTCTAATAAGGTTCTTCTAATAATCAATTTAAAAATTAATACCACAAAGTAAAAGCAATAATAAAACAGAAGTGATCTCTGTCTGATGGGATGCTTTTCCTCCCCTCCTCCCCCACCCCCCCCAATCCTCTGAACACGTGGAATTGGAAGACAGGTTTGCCTGTAAAATTTCAACTTGCCACTTACTCCCTTTTACTTCTGTCAGACTCCCAATTTCTTTTTAAACGGACTATTGTCCTCTCTGCAAACAGTTCAAGAATATGTCTAATAATTTGTATTATCTGGGTCCCCCTGTGCATCTGCAAGCATTAACTTTTGATACTGCCGTACCCACTGATACTTTTTTAAAACTTCTTCAGAAACTCAGGTCTGACTCCGCACTGACCTCCACACATCTTGACTTTAATGGGACTATCCTTGAAGAGGAAGTGAGTTGGGCCAAAAGCTACATTTGGCTATGAGGATAAGAACTGAATCAAGACATTTATTAAAAAAAATCTAATATTCAAGAGCTTCTCTCTTCTGAAAGCACTGTACTTAGGGATCCTTGTTATCATAGGCTCCGAAGTGACAGGAAAGGTAACAATAGCAAATGCTAGGGTATTTCCTATTTAAATAGGACACTGTCAAGGCAGACAGTTTCTAGTCTCACACTTAAAAACTGTAACACTGGACAATTAAAAAGAAAGAAGGAAATGGTCACCAAGATTGAGAGGTCAAAGACATTCATTAAGACCACTTCCCAATAGCCATAGTGTAACTGATTACAAATATGTAATTAGCATCATCTACCTAGAATAATTTATAGTAATAGATCCTGGCACCAGGATCTGACCCACTTCACATTGTGGGACTTGAAGGAGACCCAAGTTTAAGCAATATAGGCACGACTGAAACCCATACTCTTAGCAAACCTTCAGAGCTAGAATGTCAGTAGGTGGGCAAGGTCATCCAATTCAGTTAGGTTACTGCTTCCACCTGTACCGTGCATGAACTGGTAAAACACCTGGGAAAAAGGAGTTTGAAAAACCTTTGCCTGTTTGGAAATGGTTACCATACTGTTTCAGCCACTAAGATTTTTTTCCCCCCTAGGTGGTCTTAGGTGACAGCAGCTACATGGAAGAAGAAGTTTCTACTTATGACTTTACTCTTCCTGGAGAGTTGTGCTTCACACTTCATATTCTGCTTATTTCTCTGCTATAAAAATATTTTGGATGAAACATGTTATTCAGTTGACTTTCAACACCTAAAATTTAAAACTGAATACTTCTTACCAGAACTTGCTTTAAGTTTGGTTTCGGTTATTTAAAACTATCATTATGGCTAGGATTTTTTCAGTATGCCCCCCACCTCCACATTCTGTACACAGACTAGCTCCCTTACCAAACAGGATCAGTTAAAAACAATATTATTTTCCTTAATGCTAGGGCACTAAGGCATATATCTGTGTAAAAAATACTAGCATGTATAAGTTAAGACCATGTTACTGAAATGCATACAGGAGTTTTAAAGTTTATTACTTCATTATTATAGAAATGCCAAATTGATATTAGAGTAACAAGGAGAAATGTAATTGCTCTCTCAGAAATATGTAAACTATACAAACTCAAATAAATACTTCCACCTGGTTTAGACCGTCAAACCTAGCTTCTCCATTCCTGTTGGCTTCTTTTGGATGCTCTTTTCAGCCACTCTAAGGCTGAGGAATGACAGCTGTTTTTATATTTTAAAAGTAAGTTGCATTTACATTGTCTTCAATCCCATTACTACTAAAAATTCTTATTTGTACTTCTCTGACCATGAATCCAAGGCTGCACAGAACAGAGGCTGAACAAGAAAGAATAGGAAGAGCGAGAGCGATGAAGTTCACATCTTCCCTGCTTTGCAGCACTCCCAAGTTTTTCTCTTGTTCTGAGTTCTGTAACATTCTTCCCCTCCCTGTGTCTCATCTACTCAAAGAATAGACGAGACAGATCAGAACTAATGAAGGTGCCCAAAAACAAAGATAAGCAGCAGAGTAGCAGAGTAAATGCAAATTAACCTTTGTTGCCAATATAAAGTCAAATTATATATAGGACTGGAAGTCTTAAAAGCAGCACTATCTCCAATTCCTCTCCTTTCCTTTACCATATAAAGTAGTAAATCTTTAAATGTTCAGAACTTACCAATAGTTGAGAATGTTTTCTGTTAGTAAAGATAAATGCCACGATGTGTCACGGTAGAATAATACATGTTTTAATGAACAGAGGAATATCGTTCCTGGTAATAAGCTTTGAAATGTTCAAACACCCTGTATTTGGGAGGGGGAGAAGAAAAAAAAAAATCTTAACTCTAGCTTGAAATTGCACATCATATCTTGTAAGTCTACATGTCTCCAAACAATTAGAAAAAACAAAGCCTGTAAATTGCCTGGTAAGTAAAATGCAATTATGTTTGTTTAAGGATAGTCCACTAAAAGATTACATAAAAATCAAACCAATGATTGTTAAATCATTCAAAACACTATTATATTTACTATTTTATGCAGAGGACTATATCTGGACAGTTACATAAAAGCCTAAAAGGGTCTAAAATTATGGGCATGGAATATATACTTTAGCTATTTGTTAAGTTAGCGAGCAATTTTAAAAGTACTAATTCCAAGCTTAATTGACTAATGACAGGATTAAATAGAAATGGCCAGCAGAAGTCACTGTAAAACAAATGCTGAAGTCAAGCCTCCTAAAGATTCAGTTCCTGTGTCAAAAAAAGATTTACAATAATAAACAGCATCCCTGTGGCTTCCCCAACAAGATACAAAAGAATATCTATGCTACATATAGATGCTGTCTTCCAAGAGTTTAAAATGCTGCTAAAGAAAAGTTTGTCTCTACTATAGCAATAAAACACACTAGTTAAAATAATGATCAGACAAACCAAAACAAAATGAAAAAAACAAGTCTACAGCATAAACAGCTGTGTTTTCATCGGCCTGGCAGGAGCAGGAAGCAGAGAAAGAGGGGGTGCCAGCATACAACATGCTCCCAACATAAGAAAAAGTCAGTTTAAAATAAAAATCCTTACATAGTTAATTCAGTGCAACTGCAATGCCACACACCTCAGTAGGCTTAATTAACATTAGCTTAATCTCGCATCACTTGTGTGAGATAGATAAATACCCCATTTTAGAGATAATTAAAATAAAGTGACAAAAAGCTTAAAGTTACTTGTCCAATTCTGCAGGAGGCCTAGGTTCAATTCCCAGCTCTATTGAACCCTAATCTGTAACACCACCCATCTTCAAGTTGGACCAAATTATAAAATCAGAGGAAAATTTCTGTATGAAGGTACTAAAAGAAAATGTAGCTTGCCATTGAGAAAATTTGAGGAAGAAATAATAAGGATATAAAAGAAGGCACAATAAAACACCTTACAAAGATTTAAAAGTATTTTTACGCAATGCAAAACTGGGGGGGTTACATTACCAGAAACTCCATATTCCACTCAAGAACACTGCTGACGCATTGGAAAGCATTCTCCCTCACATCCCAGTAATCAATTTGTATGACATCAGGAGCTCCTAGGCCATCTCTACCTTTCTACTTCAAAGCACTGAGTGTGGGATACAATGTAGAACAATTCCCTTCCCCCGTCCCCCCTCCCCCACTTGGATTTTCTCCTCATTCTTTCATTCTGCATTGCCTTTGTACTTCACTTCTCATCCATTTCCCACGGTTTTTTTTTTTTATCATTGCCCATTTCTTTCCTCTCTCATCAGCTTCTTCCCCCTCTACCCCCACCCATTGTGCCATAGGAATACTGCTCATGAAGCTCACAAACTTCCAGATCCCTGCTCCCCCATCCATGCACATAGCACTAACAAAACAGATCCAGCACTTCTCACACAGCCTGGCTTGCAGCACAGAGAAAAAGCCGGAACTGACAAGTAAAGCATCTGACAAGTAGGATACCTTATAGGATGCTTGAGGTCCAGTGATGTCCAAAAAGGGTTAGACTTGAAAACCAGATACTCTTGGAGTTATGCAGCTAGGATAAAATCAGGGCTTGAAAAAAAATCCAACTGCCTGTGGCAAGCAAGAAGCTTATCTAAGCAAGTGCCATTAACTTTGGCAAGATCTAAGCATCCATTTAAAAGAAAATCATGTTTCTAGTCCTTAGAGTGGCACAGACTGCATAACTTTCCAAACACAAGGCATGCTTATCAAACAGCCATGAGCCACAGACCAACATGAAGGAAGCTGCAAGAAGCAGGGCAAAGACCATCAGCCACATCTCACTGGGTTTTTTCCCTGAAGAGTGAGATTTCCTCAGTTTTCTTAATTGCTCCTGGCTATTTAGTTTTCAAGACAGCTATGGGATGTTCGATAAAGTTCCCAAGACTAATTTGTAAAGAGAAGGCGAGAACTCATTTCTTTCTCGTATTAAGTGAAAAACAGAAGTACGGTGTTGAGAAAAATTCTGCAGAAGCAGGAGAAGGAATGAGACAAAATATCAAAGAGAAGGTAAAGGACTTCTAGCTTTTCCTAGTTAAGTGACGCAAGGATAAACAGACGAAAAAGGAAAACACTAAACAATGTGGAACAATAAACAGACCATAGGAGATTCTGCTGCTCTGGGCACAATCAAATTTTATTTTTGTACTTTCTGGCAGAGATGCTTAGCACCGCAGAGAGGCATCTTCTTCTACTTTTCTGTTCAAATGTAACAGCAAATGATGAGAAAGTAAAGTGGAATAAAGCTCTAGATGATATGGTATAACAAAAGCAAGCATACAATTTTTTTGAGTTGTTAAAGGCTGTCCCCATAACTGTTTTGTTCTTCAAACCCCAGAGGGATGTGGCAGAACATCAGTCCTCAGGTATTTTTCATGCTGACTATCTACATCAGTCCTCAGGTTAGCTGGAGTAATGCGTCCCGTTTTGGGCTCCACAATTCAAAAAGGACGTGGAGAAGCTTGAGAGAGTCCAGAGAAGACCCACGCACATGATCAGAGGTCAGGAAAACGCACCTTACAACGACAGACTGAGAGCCATGGGGCTTTTTAGCCTGGAAAAGCGCAGGCTCAGGGGTGATCTGATGGCCACCTATAAGTTTATCAGGGGTGACCACCAGTACCTGGGGGAACGTTTGTTCACCACAGTGCCCCAGGGGATGACGAGGTCAAATGGTTATAAACTACTGCAAGACCATTTCAGGCTGGACATAAGGAAGAATTTCTTTACTGTCCGAGCCCCCAAGGTCTGGAACAGCCTGCCATTGGAGGTGGTTCAAGCACCTACATTGAACACCTTCAAGAGCAAATTGGATGCTTACCTTTGTGGGATCCAATGACCCCAACTGACTTCCTGCCCTTTGGGCGGGGGGCTGGACTCAGTCTTCTGAGGTCCCTTCCAGCCCTAATGTCTGTGTGAAACCTATGTGAAGGCTTAATAAGTTCCTGAGAGCTACACAGCCTCAACTTCATGCTCCAGGGCATCATTTGACTACCTGGGTCAGGAAGACGTTTCTTCCAATGGTACAGAACTGCACAGGTCAGGTTCTGCACCTTCTTCTCAGGCAGCTGACATCAAGTGCTATCAGAGACTAGCTAACACACTGAAAGAACCAAATGTCTATCTGGTACCTTTTTGTCACAAGTTAAGCAACACAAGATGAAGAGAATACTGGCTAAGGTGAAATAAATGTTTTATTTCTAAAGGACTTTTGTAGTAATATAACAAAAAGAAAACTTTGAAAGGTAAATGGGCATGTGGATAAGTATTCTTAATTATAAACATATTCCGTAGCAAACTGAACAGGGCTTCCCATACTAAGTACAGTTGGTAGCTAAGTTCCTGGCACGTATACCCTGCCATTCTAGTTACTAAGTATACTTCAGGCATACACATGCATTTACTGACTGGTGTAAAATATTTTAGACTCCCTCTGATAACCTTTCCCTAAGAATTCCCACACTCATCTCATTTGATATACAACTGAATTTTAGAAAGTCATCCTAGAGCTCTGTTGGCTATTTGAATTAGTCACCCAAAAAGTTTAAATTAATAAGAGGCACAATTAAACAGACTAAAACCCCAAAAATAGGGGTGGAGTAAAGGAGTGTGCATCAGCAACCCCCCTGAAATCAACGGGAAACATTGAGTTCCAGCTCTCATCCTGCAAGCAGCCATTACTTTTCTGCTATGTACCACACCTGTCTATAGAGGTACTCTCCAGTTCTGTGTATGCAGACATACATGTATCCAGCTTTAAACGTGAAGCAGAACATGCTTCCATCTAACTATAATTACTGTCAATAAGCTCGTCCCATCTAAAAAAAATTAAAAATCTATGCTTCAATGATTAAGGAAACAACTACAAATAAACTACAGCAAATGATAGAGGAAAATAACCATTGCAAACAATTTTAAAGGTGATGATACAATTCTCGTAATGAAATCCACCATGTTGCTTGATAAACACACCCAGCACTTGAGGCACTTGCATTTATAAAGGCAATGCATGCTTAGCACCAATATGACACTTGATCCATAGATCCAGAAGTGTTTGAGAGACATAAGGAAGCATGAGCATGCCCATTTTACAGACAGGAAAACAAATAAAGAAAAATAACACACAGAGTCTACAGCAGAGGTGGGAATTGAACCCAGTTCCCTCAATTCCCACTGGACAGCTATGCATATCCAGACATGTTAAGGCAAGATCAGAGAAGCAGCTAAATACCTTGGCTGTGGGAGTCCGGATTCCCCCCACCCAGTCCCTAAAAGACACCAGAGGCAATGAATAGATTCTCCAGTCCCTTACAGAGGATGTAGAATAAAGCTGAGATCACCGGGGTATCTATTTAAAGGAGCCTGTATTACAAACAAATCCTCCATATCCACTCAAAAACAAACAAGCAAACAAAGGTCCCAAAGCTTCATGAGTTCTTTAACACTTGTGATACATCAATGCCATTACCCCTTTAACATAATGGCACAAAAGCTGCCATGGGTATCATTAAATAACATGTTTGACATTGTAACTCTCAGCAAAAATTATCTGTCCCACAGTTTGTTTGGTCTTTGTTATTCTGTCCTTCTATAACCCCTCCAATCTACAGATAACCTCACACTGCAATTTCTTTCGTCATTAATGAACTGTAAGATACTTAAGTATTCAAAGCATGTGTATACACGAAGTCTTTAAGGCAGGCTGGTAGAAAACTGACAGCAAAATATAAACTTTTTATTAAATCTTTGGTGCTGAGTGCCAAAATTGTTTGGTGAAGTGTTCCTTGCTAGTTATGGGCACACACTGCTGGCTTAAGGG